AATAAAGATAAGTAAATAATCATGAGTTTTATTTTAATATTTTTTAATGGTTTTATATATTTTTACTTTTGTTTTTAAATCTCTTAAGTGTTTTCACCTCCTGGAGGTGAAACTGAATTTTTTCTGTAGCATTTATTAAATATTCCTTCATTAATTTGTAATGCCTCCTCTACATAAAAAGTTATTTTAGAATTTATAGTCTGTTTCTGGGTCTTCCTGTTTATTCTTCTGTTTATTTTTGTATCAGTTCCACATAGTTTAGATTATTATTGCTATATAATAATCTTTAAATATCTTCTAGGAGAAATTCCTTTTTCTATCAATCATTTTTAAAAAAAGATTTATTTATTTATTATCTTAGGGGGGGAGAGGGGCAGAGAGGGGATGAGAGGGACAAGCAGACTCTGCCCTGAGCATGGAGCCCAACTCTGGGCTCAGATTCACAACTCTTAGATCATGACCTGAGCCGAAACCAAGAGTCGGACACTTAACCAACTGAGCCACCCAGGCGCCCCTTAATTACGAAACTTTTAAGACATCACAAAAGGGGTGCCTGGTGAGGTTAGGCATCAGACTCTTGATTTCAGCTCAGGTCATGATCTCAGCGTCGTGAGGTTGAGCTCCATGTGAGCACTGTGCTGCTGAGAGTGGAGCCTGCTTAAGATTCTCTCTCTTCCCTCTCGCTGCTCCCCACCCCTTTCACTCTCACACTCTCTTTCTCTATCTAATAAATAAATAAATAAATTAATTAATTAAGACATCACCAAAAGAGACTAGTCTTTCAAACCTTACTCATCACCCAGCTCCAACAACCATCAACATTTTGCCATAGTGGTCAGTAAAATTTATAAAGGTTTATAAAAGCAGTGCTCTAAAAATAGTATCAAGGAACATGTTGGAAAGCTAGGTATATGGAGTAACCCAGATAAAATAATTTGTTAGTATATTTTAATATATAAAATCTTTGTTAGTATATTTTGGGTTTACTCATGAAAGTAATCTATGCTTTTCATATAAATTGTAAATAGCACAGAACGGTGGGGAGTTCGAAGTCAGAGTTTCCTGGTCCCCTGTAGCTTTAGTCCCACTCCCCAGGGGGAACCACATGTCTGTTCAGCATGCTTTCTCTAGGGATTATTCCACATGTATGTGACTGGATGTGGCAGGCCCCCTTTCCCTGACTCAGGGGGAGCGAGGTGTCCCTGCTCCTCTACAAAAGGGGAAGATCAGGAAGATGAGATGGTCTGCAGTCCTTGCAGGCCCTTGGTGAATTGATGGAGTGTGGTGTCCCTGAGAACTCCACCACCAAGAGTCCTGTTATTCCCTTTGTCCCCCAGGCCAACTCTGGGAGAAGGTCAGTTTAATCTCCTCAGCAAATACACCAGGACATTTGAATGTTGACTTTTTTTAAAAAAGAAAGTCTAGTTCATATAAGGAAAAATATATCCCTCCCTTTAATATTACTTTGGTCTTATTTCTGGTGAAAGAACAACCCTGATGCTCTCATGGTGTGGATAATTCATATCCTTCTGGAGCTTGTAGGTGACTTCTCATTCTCCATTTTGCCCTGATAGGTAGGGGCAAGTGGATGGCTTCAGCTCATTATGCTGCTCAGATACAAAACATGCACAATTTTATTTTAAATAGGTGCAAATCTAGAAGTGCTAAGAAAGCCTTTTTTTTTTTTTTCTTTCCTTTTCTTCTCTACCTATAATAGTTTCTTGCAGGGAGGCTGGATGAAATGAATGAAAGAAAACATTCATCTTCCATTGCCATTACTACTGAAATAATCAGCTCTTTTCTAAGGAGAGTTACCTAGTGCCCTGTTATTTCAGAATCTGTTGTTCAACATAAAGAAAATATAGTCCTTTATTGGATATTTGATCTTGGTCAAATGGTAAAGGTCAGTACATGGAATATAGGATTTGTAAGGGCTGTACAGTTTGTTCAAGTAATAGAGATTCAAATGTTATAAAGAAAATTTCCACCTCCCTCTCCCTAGAGTTCTGTAAGCTGCAAAAATATAATTATGGTCATTGGTGGGTAGGTGCAGTTACATGCGCGCTGCTATTATGGATGTACATGGTTAACAAAGATTGCTCTTATGTTCGTGGGTGTTGTGATGCCAGCCAAGCATTCATGCTATTCATGTCTAAATGAATGGGTAAAGAAGTTAATGTTTAGTAGGAAAAAGAACCTCCATATGGGGAATCAGGCACTTTCCATATGGCTGGTGGAAATGTAAAGTGGCACAACTGTTTTTGAGGGAGATTTGGCTATATATCACAAACTGTTGTTTAAAAATTGCCTTGTTTGCTGCCCTGTATTAGGACTTTCAGACTTGGCGTTTAACTGGAGGTAGCATGTTCACAATACCTGATGGTAGAGAAAAAAAGAGCTCTCATAAGTTTTAGCATCTCAAATTATATTAAATTTTTTTCTGTTAACTCTTAGGTATTTTCTTAAAGTACCTCGCATGCAGTTAACATTAATAAAGAATTGGCTCTGGAGATTACTAAACAGAGCAGCCTCTAATCTTAAAAGACTTTCTGGTATAACCAATTTGGGAAAACGTTTGGCAGTTTCTTACAAATTAAATATACACCTTTTCTTTGAGTAATACCATTAGTAGGTATTTATCGAAGAGAAATGCAAACACGTGTCCATACAGAGACCTTTACATGAATGTTCATGGCAACTTTATTCATAACAGCCCATATTGAAAAAGAAACGTGAATGTCTATCATCAGGAGAATGGACAAACTGTGACCATTCATATGATGGGATACAACTCAGCAATAAAAATAAATGAACTTCTGATACAACATGGATGAATCTGAAAAGCATTATCCTAAGAGAAAGAAGCTAGACACAAGAGTACATACTGTATGATTACATTATGTGAAGTTTTTTTTTAATTTAAATTCAATTAACCAACTTATAGTACATCATTAGTTTCAGATGTAGTGTTCAATAATTTATCAGTTTCGTATAACACCCAGTGCTCATCGCATCACGTGCCCTCCTTAATGCCCATCATCTGGTTACCCTATCCTCCACCCACCTCCCCTCCAGCAACCCAGTTTGTTTCCTATAGTTAAGAGTCTCTCATGGTTTTTCTCCCTCTCTGATGACTTCCCATTCTGTTTTCCCTCCCTTCCCCTATGGTCCTCTGCCCTGTTTCTTATGTTCTGCATATGAGTGAAACTATATGATAATTGTCTTTCTCTGATTGACTTATTTCACTCAGCATAATACCCTCCAATTCCATCCATGTTGATGTAAATGGTAAGTATTCATCCTTTCTGATGGCTGAGTAATATTCCATTGTATATATGAACATCTTCTTTATCCGTTCATCTGTCAATGGACATCTTGGCTCTTTCCACAGTTTGGCTATTGTGGACATTGCTGCTGTGAACATTGGGTTGCAGGTGCTTCTTCAGATCACTACATTTGTATCTTTGAGGTAAATACCCAGTAGTGCAATTGCTGGGTCATAGGGTAGCTCTATTTTTAACTTCTTGAGGAACCTCCATACCGTTTTCCAGAGAGGCTGCACCAGCTTGCATTCCCACCAACAGTAAGAGCGTTCCCCTCTCTCCACATCCACTCCAACATTTGTTGTTTCCTGTGTTGTATATGAAGTTTTTAAAAGGGCAAAACTAGTCTCTATCGAAAAATCACTTCAGGGCACGTGGGTGGCTCAGTCGGTTAAGCGTCAGCCTTCGGCTCTGGTCATGATCCCAGGGTCCTGAGATCAAGTTCTGCATTGGGCTCCCTGTTCAGGGGGGAGCCTGCTTCTCCCTCTGTCCCTTTGCCTGCTTGTACTCTCTCTCTCTCTCTAATAAATAAATAAAATCTTTAAAAGAAAAAAAAACAAAAATCGCTTCAGTGGTTGCCTAGCGGTTAGGAACAAGGGTTGACTGGGAAGGGGCATGAAGTTACTTTCTATAGATGGAAACATTCTATATCTTGGAAGGAGTATGGGTTATGTGGATGTATCCATTTGTCAAAACTCATTAAAATATACACTTCAGATTTGAGTATTTCAATATATGTGAATTTTACCTTCTGCTTAAAAATAAACATTTATTTATTTTTTGTAAAAAAGGGTTTCCAGTTTCTCCTTGACCAGTTGCAAGCCTAACTCAAATTTCAGCTTGAATCATACAAATAAAAATTAGATGTTTATCTACAAACATTTATTACTTGTTAGGTATTTCATATTGTGCCCTTTTGAATCTTGGAGCATGACATTACGAAACAGGAACATTAAGCATGAAGAACCAAGATGAAATGCATTATGAAAAGTCAGCCTCTCTCTGAGTATGCCATACTCTGCACATTACAGTTCTGAAAGGTGAGCGCACTTTTCCCCAAACAGTAGTAAGGGCGGGAGGTCTCCGTCAGATGACAAAGAACATCCTTCATTTTAGAATCATGATATTGTACTTGTACCTGGTCTTTAGAAGTAGTTCAGGAAACACTCTACATTCCTCCAGGACTTGAACGTTGACCTTTCGCTGTGCCGACCCATGTTGTCCGCCTAGATAGTGACTTCTATTGGCTGCAGTGTTAAGTCTCTGGATTTTATTTCTCTGCAGCCTAGAGAGGTTGGAAGAGAGGGAGGGGAGGATTGTGGCCTGGAATACATTTTCTTAAGAGCGTCCTTTAAAAAATTTATCCCTGTATATTATTTTATTTTAAATATCCACTGGCATGATGTGTGTTTCATGTTGTGATTACTCTAAGAAAGAAAAAAAATTCTGATTCTCATCGACTCTAGGATTTCCCTCTCTGCCCCACACCTTCATCCCCCCCGCCCCGCCCTGTTTCCCTTTGTTTCCAAATGAGAAAGTCCAGTAATTATTGGGCCTGTAATTCTGTGAGCACTCACCAATCCAAAGGATAAACTCTCAGCAGTGAAATGACCTTGAATGAACTTCAGTGAGATTAGTCAGGAGAAAGGATTAAACACATTTACGTGAGTGCAGTGCTGAGAGGGATGAAGAGAGAGAAAGGTGGCACCATTTCCTGGGATCCAATGGCCTCCTGGTGTAAGAAGTGTGGGCAGCAAGACCCCAGATACTTACCTTACACCTTGGGGCGGATCACAGAGGCAGAGATGAGGGCTTACCACCATTTCCTGGGAAGTTGCGCCAGGCTAGAATATATGGCAAAACAAGGTACTGTGAGAGCAACAATGCCCTTCTTTTATGTATGTTTTGTAAATAATGTTTTGTTATTCATCCTCATTCTCAGTGGAATAATGATTTAACTAACAAATTTTATATTAAAAGAATTTACTTGCAATACTGTTTCAAGTTTACTGAGGAGTTTAAAAGGGCTTTTTAAAAAGCATTAATCAGGGGTGCCTGGGTGGCTCAGTGGTTACGTGTCTGCCTTCGGCTCAGGTCATGATCCCAGGGTCCTGGGATCGAGCCCCGCATCGGGCTCCCTGCTCCGCGGGAAGCCTGCTTCTCCCTCTCCCACTCCCCCTGCTTGTGTTCCTGCTCTCACTGTCTCTCTTTCTGTCAAGTAAATAAAATCTTTAAAAAAACCCATTAATCAGCTATTAACAATATTGTAGATGGTCATTTATTGAAAAATTCATATTAAAAAGAGATGACCAAATATTCTGAAAAAAATCAGGTTGTAGGATGGAATGTGTAAGTGTGAATCAATTTTAAGAGCATATATGTCTATACATAAATATGTGTGTATTGACCATTGTACACCAATGAGAACTATTTCATTTGGGGTGAAGGAGTGATAAGGAGTTGTGTTTTTCTTATTTTCGTGGTATTTTTTATTTTTTAAAATAACCAACATAGATTGCTTTTGTAAAATGAAAATAAGAATTCAGATAATGAAACTCATGTTTCTGAAGAAAAATGTTAAGTCTGAAAAAAGTGTTAAATCTGAAATGCTAAGACTTTATTTTTAAACATATGAACTAATAACACACTGGTGGTTTAAAGTGGAAAAAAGAGAAACACTTCCCTTCAGTGGGCTGGGTGAGAAGGAACAGCATTTCTAAGTATGCCTTACATGTATTTGGAAGCCAGTAGGACACATGCTCTAAGAGCTGAAGCAACTACTTGTTTCTAAGACTCCTTCTTTTATGGATGGGCTTTTTGATATTACCCCATTTCCCCCCCCTTTTTTTTTTTTGCCTTGAAAATGTTTATAGGGGTGCCTGGGTGGCTCAGTCGTTAAGCGTCTGCCTTCAGTCTCGGATCATGATCCTGGGGTCCTGGGATTGAACCCCGTGTCGGGCTCCCTGCTCAAAAGGAAGCCTGCTTCTCCCTCTCCCACTCCCCCTGCTTGTGTTCCCTCTCTTGCTGTGTCTCTGTCAAATAAATAAATAAAATCTTGAAAAAAAAAAAACATGTTTATAATATGTTCATTCCCCTTGGATCACAGATTGGGAAAAGTGATTAAATAACTGTCTTTGTCTCTCTTTATTCCTCTTTACTTATATTTGGAACCTATCGCTTCAATAGAGGGGAATTACTGAATAGAGAAGTGTGCTTGGTCATCTTTACAGTATACTTTCTGAATTCATGCTTATAGTATGTATCATATACTTATATAGGATATAATACATATGCTGTCTTATCAAAGGCAAGGGGTACTATATATTTGCTATTTAAGAGAGAACAACTTGTTAATCAGATTTTGCTTTCCATTCTTAAAACACATAGGCGCTCGCCTCTGCATGCACACAAATCCTACAGGGCTTGAATTCAAGTGTAAATTATTGCCCTAATTTTATTAAAGTTGAATCATAAGGGCTTTACAGTTTTGTTAGTAGTGAGGAGAGGAAGTAATTTGAAAGATTATGAAGAATTTCTGAATTCTAAACTCACAGCATTACATACACGTTGTTGCTTTTCTTCCTTCCCCCACTATAAAAGGTTATAAAATGTTTGCCTACATGCTTTAGCTGTCAATCATTTTATTCTGTCTGTGACTCAAGAGAACAATGAAAATCTGAGTATCTTAACTTAGGTTTTGGGAGTGGCTAAATGTCCTTTCTGATATTACTGTAATCTTACATTCATTCATTGGCTGTGTTTATTCCATTAATTGTTCTTAGTTTGTGTTTGTTTCATGTGGTTGCTGTAACAGATGATCACAGACTTGATGGCCTAATACAGCAGAAATTTATTTTCTCCTAGATCTAGAGGCCAGAAGTCCGAAATCAAGGTGCAGGTCTCTAGAGACTATAGGGGAAATTTATTTTCTCAGCTCTTTCAGGCTCTGGTGGCTCCAGGCCTGTGTTGGCTTCTGACTGCAGCATTCCAGTCTCAGACTCCATCTTCACATGGTCTTCTCCTGTTATCCTTTCTCTTTCTTTCTCTTTTTTAAAATTTATTTGGGGGGGGGTCAGGGCAGAGAGAGAATCTCCAACAGACTCCCTGCTGAGTGCAGAGCCCTGTGGGGCTCTATCCCACGACCCTGAGATCATGACCTGAGCCGAAATCAAGAGTTGGATGCTCAACCGACTGAGCCACCCAGGCGCCCGTATTTTCCTCTCTTATAAAAATACATATGATTGCATTCTGGGCCCACCCAGATAATTCAAAATAGGCTCTTCCTCTCAAGAGCTTTAACTTAGTCAGTTCTGCAAGGACCCTTTTTTCACATAAGGCAATGTTCACAGGTACTAGGATTAGGACATGGTCTTATCTTTTGGGAGGGTGCACTATCCAGCCTGCTCTTTATATTTTAGGAAGATAAGCCCTTTATCAACTACATGTGCTGTACATTTTCCAATTTGTTGCTAATTTTTTAGTTTGTTCAAGGTATGTTTGCCCTGCCAAAGTGGTTTTTAAATTAACTTTATCAGTCTTTTCTTACTGGTATTTCTGCCATATTTTGAAAGGCTGTTCTGATTCCAGTATTATAAAAATATTCTCCTACATTTTCTTCTAGTATTTTTATGGTTTCATTATTTAATCTGGCTGGAGTTTATTCTTTTGGCAAGAAGTGAAAATATGGATATACTTAAACATTTTGACAATAATAAAATAACCTTACATAGCATCTGCCATATACCAGGAATTTTTCTTAAGTTCTCTAGCTATATTATAAACTCAGTTCTTACAATGATTAGATCAGGTGGATGTATTATAATTTCCCCCATTTTCATATCAAGAAAGTAAGGCACAGGGACATCAAGCAACTTGCTTGAGATTAGTCTGCTGTAAGTGGCAGAGCCAAGATTTGAACCTAGGCATTGTGGCACCAGAGGTGATGCTCTTAATCACTGTACTTGATGTCTTTTTGTGACCAGAAGATTGACCCAACACTATTTGTTGAATAATCTCCCCCTGGCCCCATGTGAAATGCCACTTTTATCATATACTATATGTTCATTTATATTTTGACCTAATTCTAATCTTTGTTTTGTTCCTGAGCCCTTCTGAACTCAAAACAAATTCTATCAGACTTACCTCATAGTGAAAGAGAAAGGTCAACTACAGGGAGTTTATGAGCAGAATTTCAGGGCAAACCCAACAATGCGTGGTGGGTGTTTGTGAGAAATCTATTGCAGTATCCTTGTGATCATAGCTCAAAGGACTGAATGATCAATTTAATTAGCTTTTATTGAATCTCTTATACACAAACTGCTTTCGCATGTTATTTTAATTAATTAAGTTAGATAATATAGGTAAAGCAGGTCGCACAATGCCCAGTAGGCCGTAAGTGTTCAATAAATGGTAGTATTAATCCCCACAATGGCCCTCCAAGGAGATAGTAATAATTATTATCCATTCCCGTTTTACAGAGGGAGACCCTGAAGATAGAGGGGCTGGTTAGTGACAGAGCTCAGATGCAAGTCCAGTTCTTTTCATTCTGTTTCCCTACCTGAATGAATGAATGAATGAATCAATCAATCAATCGAGAGAGAGAGAGAGAGGAAAGAGGGACTGTTTGCCAGCGCTTCCAGGACTTTTTCTTAAACAAAAATAAAATTGTTTATCCATCATATTGCTAAAATGTCTTAAAATCCCACCATTTTGATTCCTTTGTATTAAGATTTTTTTTTTCTCTAGGAGCTTTAGAAAGAAAGGGTAGAAGCTTTTGGAAGAATGCTACATTAAATAATTATTACTCATCTCAGGTCTTCTCATCTCCTCATCTTATACCATATTACATTGTTTTGCCCAAGGCACTGCTTGCGGACCATAAACTTGTGCTGAATCCAGGGCTAGAGTGAGCCAAGAATGAGAGGGCACAGACATGCAGGGGCCCACCCGGAGCAGTGGGGCGGGCTTCAGGTGGAGGTGTGCGTGCAGGAAGGCAGGTGAGCAGGCTTTTAAACCAGGGTTGGCTTGTTTCCCAGGGTGCTGACCTCGCAGTCAGCATAGAAGGAAACCACCTAGGCCTCCTTTTTAAGAATACTTTGAACACACAGAGATGATTATTTTTACTGAATGATAGATAAGAGAAGCAGACAGCGAACAACCCAGATAAAAACTTTTTTTTTTTTTCCCCTGAGCTGCATTTTTTATAAGCAACAGGAAAGGACCAAGAATGTAGTGTCAGGCTTCGGAATCAATGTTGTGCTTGCTTCTCTGTTGAATCAGCAGCATCAGGAGAGCTTGTTAGAAATGCCCCGCCCTAGGCCTACTAAATCAGAATCTGCATTTGAAAACCCATGTGATTTATATATCCATTATAATTTGAGAAGCCCTGCTGCGGGCAGGGTATTGATTAAAATGCAGGTGGGGCATTTGAAACTCAGTGCTATAACAGGGAGCCTTATGGGAAGGAGGGATTAAGTAGTTTCACAGATTTTCTCAATTTCCTGCAGGGCCTTGATTGCTTTTTATTCAGAATACCCCAGGCAGCAGAGCTCAGTTTCACCTGTCCTGGAGTTATGAAGGGCTACGGGGGAATGTCATCTCCAACTATTGTTGCTAAAGAAACTCATTGCTTAGAAATATCCACCTCTGCAGGGCTTGTCTCATACAAGGGTACAATGTGAAATGTCAGCAGAAATTAAGGAGCTTTAAAAAAAATGTATCAGTTCAGGGGCACCTGGGTGGCTCAGTTGGTTAAGCGACTGCCTTCGGCTCAGGTCATGATCCTGGAATCCCGGGATTGAGTCCCACATCGGGCTCCCTGCTCAGCGGGGAGTCTGCTTCTCCCTCTGACCCTCCCCCCTCTCATGCTCTCTGTCTCTTATTCTCTCTCTCTCAAATAAATAAATAAAATCTTAAAAAAATTAATAAAAAAATGTATCAGCTCTATCTGTAAAGGAAAGAAGGAGAAAATGGATTTGGATAAGTATTAACAGAAATGCTATGCTTAGTAATATCTTACCAGTTCTCAAAGCAGTTCTAAACAGGCATTGCAGAGCCTGGGACAAGAGTACAAATGGAGGCCCACATGCCCCAGTTAAATAAAACATGTTTTATCTCCCTACCTACCTTACAAACATACTCTCATACTCTCCTACCAAAATTAAAATATGTATAAAGCTGTGGTTTTTATATGAGTAAAAATCAGAAAATAGCAAAGATGACAAAATTGAATTATTGCGTGTGTCTGAGTGTTGTGTAGATGGACCTGTGAAATTTGGGTGCGTAATAAAGATATCTGTAATCTGTAAGTCATTAATTAGTGTATAAAATATATATTTTTTTCTTGCCAGCAAGATTTTCATGTCAGCAAAAGCACTGTTGTTGTAATTGAGATTTTCACATAATTTTCACTGTTGAGAGCAGTGATCTAAAGTCAATGTGATCAAAGTATTGTAATTGTGTTCAAGGAATTCACATTTTGAAGGTATGTATTTGCATCATGAATAAGGAGGAAGAAAGAAGGTTGACGCTTGGTAGTACTGGGCCTGAGATTTCATTATATAAGAATCTGCAGCATTCATGCCATGTGAAAGGAAAGATTTGACGTGATAATGAATTTGTCTCTTCTCTTACCTAAGCACTTCCACTGCTCCAGACCTCCCAGCGCTCAGAAGCAGTGTCTGTTCCTGGTATCAGCAGTGGCACAGCCCACGAACCAGCGGAGCATTGGATGCGGTCGCCTTTTTTTTGAGGATATAGACCAAGAGATGTGGCGAAGTACTTCCCTGGGGCTCCAGTGGTGTTAAGAGAGTAGATGTATAGGGCTGCAGTATACCCGGTCAGCCCTGAACACTGGGTCACGAGTGACAGAGCCGCCGGTGTGGTCTTTAACATATATATTTATGGGAGGGAGGGCTGTGATATGTGGAGCTCTCAAAAGTGTGGGGCCTGGACCAAGGGTCACAAGGAAACTTTTGGGGCAATGGAAGCGTTCCATATCTTGATCTGTCTGATGGTTACATGAGTGTATATATTTATCAGAATTCACCAAACTGTACACTTAAGATCTGTGCATTGTACTGCATGTAAATTATACTTCAATAAAGTCCTATTAGCATGAGAAATAAAGGCTACCAGAGCATACTTTACTCTATATAAGCTAAAGGGGGTAACCACAGTATGATTCCATTACTCTAACACAACTATTTCAAGTATTCTTTTCTCATGTGTCTGCACACATATGCACAAATAACACCATATGCTTTCTTCTTTCTCTTTTAACTTGTCTACAATTCCACCTCACATATGGTTTTTATGTCCTTGATATGATATCTTAAATCTTTGTCTGTGGAGATGGTCTTCATAATTATATAATGATTGCTTTCATTTTTCCACTCTTTCTTTAAAAAAAGATTTTATTTATTTGAGAGAGAGAGAGAGAGCACAGAGGGAGAGGGAGAAGCAGACTCCCTGCTGAGCAGACAGCCCAATGCGGACTCCATGCCAGGACCCTGAGATCATGACCTGAGCCGAAGGCGGATGCTTAACCGACTAGCCACCCAGGCGCCCCTCATTTTTTCACTCTTATAAATAATATTCCAGTCTACCTTTTTATGTGTAAGGTTTTTATTTTACTATTTTGTTGGCATAAATTTTCAGATATAGGATGAATGGGCAAAGGATTATGAAGATTTTAATGACTGTGTATTGAAGCTCTGTATTGTAATGGTTAAGATGTTGGGCTTTAGAGTTCAGAATGAGATGGATTCAAATTCTGGCTCTGTTCAACCTTGGATGAGCTACTGCAAATCTAGATCAATATTGCCCTTTTATCTTGAGGATTAAATGAGATGCTACATATAAAGGGCTTGGTATGTAACTACACAATAATCACTGGATAAAATATTGTGAAACTGCTTTCTAAAAGGGCTCTACCAGCTTCACTCCCCAAGGTTATGTACATGTTCTGATTTTCCAACAAAATCCCAGCATTGGATGTTAGAATCTCAGTTGTTTTATGGATGAATGAGATATTCTATTGCTGTTTTAACTGCATTATCTGACTAATAGGAAGTTGGTAATTTTTCAGTGTTCTTGCTGTTAAAATTCTAAATTTCTCCTTTAAAAAAATTCTTCCACTTGCTTTTCTATTGCCTTTTATTCATTGTTAATTTACAGACAAGACTTCAATGCTGTCTTATGGTTCAGGTCAAGCATTGCTATATATAGCACAGGACCCAGTAAAAGAAGGAAAAATGGGTTTGTGTTATTTCTGACCTGGCCAATAAAAAAGAGAAGTGAAACAGGATGTCTCCATGAGGTGGGTTTTTGTACCAGCCCGGCAACTGATTTCTCTGAGCTTCCAGTCTGTATGTGTTTTCCTGGCAGTCAAGTCTGGTCTAGTTGAGGGAGTGAGAGGGCGGGATGGGCCAGAGGAGGTTCATTTTAGTGCAAAGGTGCATTCCTTTACTATTATCCAACTCATTAAATGAGTTAATCTGTGAGGTGCGTGATCAGGGCTGGCTCACAGCTGTTGCTTGTTAGTGTTACTAACAGAGGCTGGGACAGGGGATCCTGGGCCCATTCCTAGTCCAGCGAGGCGGCAGACTCTTCTATTTTTCCTGTTCACCAGATTCCCTTGGTAATGTAGAAATGTGGCAGGGTCTGCCTTCCCTTGTCGGTCCAGACCAAACTTTGTTTCCCTAAATTACTTACTTACCTAGAAATTTGGTTCTTTTTTTCTTCAGACCATACTTGAATCTTTTAAATCCCAATGTGACTGAAATTTCAGCCAGAGTGGAAGTCAAGGGTTTTGCTGCCCCAGTTGCAACAGGCAGACAGCAAAAGCTGTTATGAGCAGTTCCCTGCTCTCTGCTGTGAGGACGGTTGCAGTCAGTGGGAAAGGTCCTGCCCCAGAGCCTGCACTGCTCTCTGACTGGGTGGTGGACAATGCAGGGGTGTGGCTTGCTGCCTTCCCAAGCTAAGTTTCCATGGGATGTGCAAAGCTGTTTATTCCATCCCCGAGGAGGCTGTGTTGTACCCTTCGATGCCTTTTGCATCTCTGGAACTCTGGGTGCGGGATAGCATATGATCACTCACTGTATACTTACCAGGGATAGAAAAGGGACAAGTTTTCCCCTGACCTATTTGTAACTTTGCCCAGGATACAGATTGTGTTGAAATTGAATTATCACTTCCCCTAGCCTTATGTGGGTTGAAAGAGACAAGTTTCTCCCTAATCCATGCACATCAAAAGTAGCAAGCAGCGAGCAGGAAGCGTCCACACAGAACCGAGGGGCCAGGCAGAGCGCAGTAGGCATTACCACTTTGGTGGGTCGTCACTGGTCATGCCCAACTGTTTCTGGAGAAGGAAAAGCCATTTTGCAACACAGGACACTGAGGCTCAGAGTGTCCTTGCTCTGGTATCTAGCTAAGAGTTGGCAGAAATGGCCCTTCCCATGCAGGGCTGTCTGGGTTCTTTGCCATTGCACAGAAGGGGGCTCCTTTAGACAAAAGAGCTCCTGCCCTCCCTTCCCTACCCCATCTAGACAGGAGTGGATAGCAAGGCTTACCAGCAGTAGGGCTGGTCTTTGTGTGTCTTTTGGTCAGAGTATGAATGTGGCCTGTTTGGGGCTGAACTGAGCGTGCCCCTCTTCCAGCAAGTCCTCAGATGTCAGGCATCACTAAAAGCTCGGTGTGTCTGAGGTTACCTCCATGCTCTGGGTCAGCACTGAGTCTAAGAAACCCGCATGATCTGTTGTGGCTGGCCAGGTCGGGTCATGAGATTCCTTTGCTGGGACATCTTCAAGGACAACCCTTTCACTCCCTGGTAGGGGGGCCAAGCTTTCTCAGCAAAGGCAAAGCAGCTCATTTCTATTCTTGAAAAACAAATTATACATCTTAGTCCTGTTCATTTGGTAACCCCAAGTGGGAAAGATCTCTGTTGGAAGGCTGGGCAAACCTCCACACATTCCCATGATGAGAGACACTAGTTACCCTCTCAGGGGTGGTAGAGGACAGTGCTGCTGAAGACCAAGGGTCTGGGAACTCCTGTCATGGAAGGCCAAGGTTTGTCCTTAGAGTCATGTGATCCCAGGCTGACTCTGACTCCATGCTTAAATTATATGACCACAGGCAAGGTCAGAATCTCTCTGGGTCTCCATTTCTTCACTTAAAAAGAGATGGGTTGGGGGATGGTTGGCTTAACTCACTTCTGTTGTCCATTTTCAGATCTTACCTATTTAAAATGTCTAAAGCACACCTCAGATATTGAGGTCCAATAACAATAAATTGCATCTTATGATCTTGGTTTTTCTTTGTGGTCATTATCTCTTAAATATGCTCCCTCAGGTATGAAAATACAGTGATCCAGCTCTATTTTTGAGTGTACCATTTTCTCAGACTACTGGGAGATTATATTCTGAGAAACTCTTCAATTATATAACTCCTGTTCCTGCTTAAATTCTCTATGTTGGTTTCCATTTATAATTTATATTTTATTATGAAAAATTTGAAACATATGCAAAAGAATTATATAATGCAATCCCATGGACCCAACAACTAGCTTTAATAATTATCCATATTGGTCAATCTGATTTCATCCCCTCCTCCCCCAGCCCCATACATTTTTGGCAAGGGGGAGGGAGCACTTGAGTATTTCTTTTTTTAAAGATTTTATTTATTTATTTATTCATGAGAGACAGAGAGAGAGAGGCAGAGGGAGAAGCAGGCTCCCAAGGAGCAGGGAGCCTGATGCGGGACTCGATCCCAGGACCCCGGGATCATGACCTGAGCCGAAGGCAGACGCTTAACCATCTGAGCCACCCAGGTGCCTGCACTTGAGTATTTTTAAGCAGAACTCAGACTTAATATCATTTTACTGTTTAAATACTTTAGTTTGTGTATAAAACCAAGAAGACTCTTCCCTTTTGCCAAATATAACTATAGCGTCATTATTGTACCCATTACAATTAACAGTGAAACAGGGGTTTAGTGAATTTTTAGTGAATTCAGGGTGGAAAGAGAAAGGAAGAATGAAGGAATGAGCTCTGGCCTGGGTTTACCTGCTTTCCTCCAGAGAAAGTGGTAGAATTCATTGAGAAGGCTCTTAGTATGTATATATGTATGTATGTATGTATGTATTTTTTTATTCATGAGAGACAGAGAGAGAGAGAGGGAGAGGCAGAGGGAGAAGCAGGCTCTCTGTGGAGCAGGGAGCCCGATGCAGGGTAGGGAGCCCGATGTGGGACTCCATCCCAGAACCCTGGGATCATGACCTGAGCTGAAGGCAGACTCTTAACTAACTGAGCCACCCAGGTACCTAAGAAGGGTCTTAGCGTTTAAACTGGCACTTGCCCCAGCCCTTACAAGACTTTCAGGGAGCGCCTTGGTGGCTCAGTCCATTAAACGTCCCACTCTTGGTTTTGGCTCAGGTCATGGTCTCAGGGTCCTGAGATTGAGCCCTGGTCAGCTCTGCATTCAGTGAGAGTCTGCTTGAGATTTTCCCCCCTCCCTTTCCCTCTGTTCCTTCCCCTGCTCGTGTACAAGCACTTTCTCTCAAATAAATAAATAAATAAATAAGTAAGTAAGTAAGTAAATAAATAAATAAAATCTTAAAAAGAAAAAACTTTCAGCAAACAAATATGGGAAAGTTATAGCCCTTCGCCTTTCCAGACGAAGGGCTATAACTAGTATTTACTGAGCATCTACTGTGTACATCCCCATATATATCATCTCCTTTAACTTTCACACTAAAGCTGAGAAGGTTCTGGGAGGAGCTTCCAAAATACAACCTTCCTTTTGGTCAACGTTACAATATCATACCATTACCCTGACTCCAGGCTGAATCAATGGCAGATTCCTATTTAGCATCAATGTACAAGACTATTTGACTCTGCCTTAATCTTATCTGATGTTTAACTGCTAGAGAAATAATAACCAGCTCATTTTTTTAGATTCTCTGGGATATAATTAAATGAGGATAATACTATCTTAGGCAGTGAGAGTGTGAAAATGCTTTCCTATTTCCAACCCAGCTAAGGATTTCCATTCAGTCTTCTCCCCTCTCTAATCCCGTTCCCCCAAACGGATAGAATGCAAATCATAGGGCTTACAAATCACTCTTAGGATTAGAGGACATTGGTAGGTTTGTGCTTGAAAGATTTGAATTTTTGCGTTGGAAGCCTGTAACTTTTTGTTCAGTATGGAGTATCTTTAATTAGCAAAATAGAGAAGTGTCTCCTTATACATGCTTGGCAGTGGGAAGAGGCCCTTGAAGTATTCTGGAAGGAGACGAAAAGGTAATTAAGGAGGGAGGCAAAAAGGAAGGAATGAGGGAGGGAAGGAAACAAAAAGCCAAGAACATTCATAAATGTCAGATAGATTTTATGACCCAGCTTGGGATGAACTCTGGTGACCTAGATTGTTTGTGTGTAAGACCTAAAGGAGTAGGCAGGTCCCTGAGTACCTGCCTTGGTAATGAGACCATCCCAGCAGCTATATTGTGAAGCTGCTGAAGCTTAAGCTTCAGGGCCCCTTCCTTGTGTTGACCCTCCTAAAGCCTTAGGAGAGGCTCTAGAAATGTGTTCCTGTGCTCCTGGGTATAAGCTTCACACCACACAAAACCCAGATCCATTCCTGCATCTCAGGAATAGAGTTCTCAAGAGAATAATGTGCCTATAACCATATGTAGATAAGTCCCAGATTTCCCTAGTAGTGAAACTTCCCTTTCTCCCCCCCCACTTCCTTTTAAATTCTCTTTGTGATTTACACAAATTTAACCTAATTTGTATTTCATTTGTGCAGATGAAATTATGCAGCAGGAAATCAGGCCCTTGGTGGCAGTGGACATAATTGAACAACTTCACAGACAATTTGCCATTCTCTCAGGTAAGGGGCAAATTAATTTGTATTTTAGATTTTGTTGCGGGGGATCTTGTTGGGAAGGGCCCAGCCTCTTGAACCTGGATGAACAGTGTACCCAAGTCTTAGACATCCCTTCAGCTTCTCCCAGAGTTACAATGAACAGCTGGAGGAGGGTCAGATCTCATAGATGTCATTCCTATTGCTGTTGGGTGCAATTTGATCTTCCTTAAGGGAGTACCTTTCTTTGAGGTTGTAAAGAACAGAGCTAAAAAGATTTTGAGGAAGGGAAAGGAAATAACTACTGATATCAGCTGCCACCATGGATGTTCTTCCTACATTCTTGTTGGAGGTTTTTCCCAAGATCTAACCTTAAGAGAGTTTGGTTTTAAGGGTTCATGAGCATTGGTGAGGTTATTTGTTCTCTTCAAGATTTGTCTTTTATTCTTAGCTCTTATGGACCTAATTTTAATGCATTGATTTCCATTGAGCATTTGGGAATAAAGAGAGGCTAATGTTCATAAAAGTCTAGAAATTTTCTGAGCCTATGCACAACCCTGAGAAATTGTCATTACCAGAATACTTTTCTTTCTTATTCACTTAGCGAATGTTGACATGACTTTGATTACTGAAACTGGAGATATGTACCAAACCCTAAATTACAGTTAGACCTGTCTTAGAAGCATGGTATGAAATTGTCCTTAGCACACATCACAGAGGAATAAGGTAGCAAGTTACTCTCCTCATCTTTTACACCTGAAAAAAGCAACAAAGCTACCTTAGTTCCATCACAGAAAATATGAAGTTGGTATGAATTTAACCCTACAACATGGGATATTAAAAGACACACATTTCTGGGAGGTGGAGCAAGATGGCGGAGGAGTAGGAGACCTGGATTTCGTCTGGTCTCAGGAATTCAGCTGGAGAGGGATCAAACCATTCTGAACACCTATGAACTCAACAGGAGATCAAAGAAAAGAATAGCAACAAGTCTCTGAACAGAAAAGCGACCACTTTCTGGAAGGTAGGATGTGCGGAGAAGTGAATCCCAGGCACTATTTGGGAGGATAGACGGCGGAAGGGGGCCTCCGTCAGCCGCTTCTGGCAAGTGCTAGAGCCGTGGAGCACAAAATTGGAACTTTTAAGAAGTCGGCACCACTGAGGGACGTCACTCCAGTGGCTAAGCGGCAGGTGGAACCCTTGCGGGACAGTGTGGTCTCAGGACCCTCGGGGTCACAGAAAGACCTGGATGACCTAGCAGAGCTCCCAGGTATTGGAGCGGGGAAGCTGGCTGCAGAGACGGCTGCAGAGATGGAGTCGAGGCGTGGGCTCTCAGCTCGGGGTTGCCATAAACCGTGATCCACGGCCCAGTCGGGCCCCTGCTCCTCCAGCAGGGACCCAACAAGCGGCAGATCCGGGGAGACTCCCCTTGCTCCCCTGGGAGGAGTGGCGCGGGAGCGCACCGCAGGGATTTGCTGGGTTTGGAGACTCCACACGGGGTCGTGTGCCAGAGATAGAAACGCTCAGTCACAGGCCAGGTGAGCACGGAGTGCGGCCAGAGACCAGGGAGACTGGAGTGACTGACTGCTTTTCTCTGGGGGCACACTGAGGAGTGGGGCCCCGAGTTCTCAGCTCCTCCAGGGCGGAGATTGGGAGGCCGCCATTTTTTTTTTTTTTTTCCCGCCATTTTCACTCTCATCCTCCAAAGCTGTAGGGAAACTTTGCAGGGAACAAAAGCTCCGGAGACAAACCCGAGCGGATTACTTAGCCCAGACTGACAAGGGCGGGGCAATTCCGCCTCCCGCAAAGACTTTTGGGAACCACGGCAACAGGCGTCTCCCCCAGAAGATCAGCAAGAACAGCCAGACAAGACCAAGTTTACTGATCAATGAGAACAGCAGAACTCCAGTGCCAGGGGAATACTGCACATAGAATTGATGGCTTTTTTACTATGATTCTTTAGTCTTTCAAAGTTAATTTTTTTAACTGTTTTTTTTTTAATTTTTCTTTTTCCCTTTTTCAACCAACATCTTATCCCTTTTTTAAGAAACATTTTTATTTTTCATTTTGAGAGTCATATTCTATCTCTTCCTAGTAGTTACCCTTATTTTTGGCATATATATATATATATATAAGTTGTTCTCTCTTTAAAATTTTGAGATACAGTTTCTTCTAACAGATCAAAATATACCCTAAATCT